TGCTTTCACCAACCGGTATCATGATTGCTAAGAGAAGGTCAATCATAATATTCTTAAGACAAAGAAGTTGATATATGTAGCCCTTAACCTAGCGTATTTATGCTCAGACTATCAGATCAAACACAAAGAACAAAATAAGATCAATTTAATATGTATCTTTATTAGTAAAAATCAAATTCCCTAATAACCTGGAAAACGGAAGCACTATAGGAGAAAAATACTTTTCTCACAATTTTAAGATTCGAAATCGATTAGGTTAAGATTTCTAATCATTATCTAATAGAAAATAACTACCAATAGATTCAGAAAAAATAAAAAAAATAAAAAAAATCATTTTAAATCCGTAAACAATATCGAATCAACAAAAAACACCTTTATGTGAAAGTGGAAATCGACGAGTTTTGTTAATTGAACCGTTTCCCATTCATTCAAATGATTTTCGTCAAATTTGCGATTGTAAAATCACTTCGTTAGATTTGTCAATAAAATTAATATCAATGACATCATCAAAACTTACATTTACGTTATCTAAACATATACCTCTACATCAAATACATTTACGGTTTATCAAAAACTTATCGAAGAGAAAGACATGAAAGATATTTCAAACTCTAGCTTAGGAATTTGTCATGGTTTGTATAGAAGTATAGACAGGTATAGGGATGAGCATAGACGAGAGTACCAGTCTCATTTGGCGAGAACTGGAATCACAACCGGAACCGACGGTTCCTAAAAAGTTAGAACCGGAATTAGAAATAGTTAGACAGTTCTTAAATTTTTGGAATCAATCCCGGAATCGCCGGTTCCGGTTCCTAGAGCGGGTAACCCGGTTACATCAATTTTATTAACTTTTGTCAATAAAACCGCAATTTAGTTCTGTCCAAATCGAATCAACTCGGATAAAAAAACGGACAGGACCAATATACTCGAAAGTAGTCTAAATAACACACACATATTCATACAAAATACTAATATATATATATACCGATCCGGCAGTTATCCAGCGGGTAGCGGTTCCGAAAAAATAAGAACCAGAACCACTTCAGACGATTCAATAACTTTAGGAACCGGAACTGGAAACGTTTAAAGTGGTTCCAGTTCCAGTTGCAACAATTCTGAGGCAGTTACGGTTCCGAAAACAAGCATCGAGTTATGATGTACATGTGACAAAAACTTATTATCAAACAACAGAAATTACATGTGATTATGAAATGATACAGTGAAGGTGAAAATTAGAATTGGAGTAATGGAAGGACTGTTTTTGCAAAGTTAGACATTATCAGGAACTATTTATGTAAATACGTTGATAAATCCAAAAGTACAGAGGTCAGAATACGAAAGTGGAAATCTTCCTTGAATTTAGACGACAGGTAAATAGTTTTACTACCCGATTCAGAACCCCTAAAAAGATTTCCTTTTTTTCTTCTTTCTTTTTCTCTCAATCTTTCTTCAGTAGATGATGGGTACCAACGGTAACAACAATCATTCCAAGAACAAGAAGAAGAAGAACAACAAGCGTGGTGGAACGAAGAAAAGGATGACAGTGGAACAATCTCTTGCTTACAAATCCGTAAGTGAATGGGTTTACTTGGACAATATACCTTCGTCGGCGAATTCCGCAATCGCCATCGACGATGATTTCAAGGTGAAGTTGGTTCACACCAAGGTTTCTGCTGAAAAATTGGTGTTTGAATTGCATTCGCATTCGATTTGTAGCGATGGATTCTTGTCCCCTTCGAAACTTGTCGAAAGAGCTCATCAGTATGGGGTATGTAATGTATGAGTCATTTTATCAAACACATGGTGTGCTAACAGTTTTTTATGTTTTAAGCTTCTTCATACATGGCTGCCTAATTTATTATTCTTCTTCTTTGAAACTCCAAGAACACTGGTTTCATTCCGCTATCACAATTGCTATGGAATCTGAACTTGTTTATTTCATTTGTTAATTGATTAAGTACGATGTGTTCAGAACAGGTAAAAGTCCTTTCTCTTACGGATCATGATACAATGGCCGGAATCCCTCAAGCCCTAGAAGCAGCTCGACGCGTCGGAATCAAAATCATCCCTGGAGTCGAAATCAGTACCATTTTCACCCCAAGGTCTTATCTTCTTCTTCTTCTTCTTCTTCTTCATCGACATCTAAATATCTAATCTTCCATGAATTGACATTCAAAAAACTGTCTTGAACAGAACCGAATCCGGATCAGAAGAACCCGTTCATGTCCTGGCCTATTACAGCTGCTGCGGACCTGCAAATTTCCAAAAAGTAGATGAATTTCTAGGTAACATAAGAGAAGGGCGTTACCTTCGTGCTAAGAACATGATCTCAAAATTGAACAAACTCAAGTTACCTCTCCGATGGGAGAATGTTGAAAAGATCGCCGGTGATGGTGTTGCTCCGGGAAGACTGCATGTAGCTCGAGCTATGGTGGAAGCCGGCCATGTTGAAAATTTGAAACAAGCTTTTAGTCGTTATCTTTATGATGGAGGTCCTGCTTATTCCACGTGAGCATATCTTTATCTTTATCTGTGTCAGATTCAGACTGTTTGATTCCGAAGTCATATAGACTCTTATATGCTTTTTGGGTCTGATTTGACTCAATTAGATCTGACTCAATCAACAGCTATGAACAGACATTTTTTTTTGTTTGTTTGTGAAGTGGAAGTGAGCCGGATGCTGAGGTGGCGGTGAAGTTGATATGTGAGACGGGTGGGGTGGCGGTTTTGGCTCATCCATGGGCGTTGAAGAACCCGGTTGCTATTATTAGAAGGTTGAAAGAAGCTGGATTGCATGGTTTGGAGGTTTATAGAAGTGATGGGAAATTAGCAGGTATGTTTATTATATTTATAGCATCTTAGTTTCATTTCTTCATATAAATGTATTGTAATTTGACAAATCTATCTAATTATAACAATGGCATTCAAATAAAAAGCTATAATTGAGTAAAAATTTCAAAGTACAACACTTATTGTTAAAAGATATTAGTACTTTTTTAGAAAAGTCTTTAAAGGACGATTTTTTGCTCAATAGGTTAGTAATTTTCAAAAGGTAGGGGGTAAATTGTGTGTTGTGTAAAAGTTAGGCAAAATTTCTTAAATGCCCTTGCATTTTCTGCCTTTTATCTTGAATGCGAGTACATTTTTTTTTGGAGAAAAAACACTCATGATATATTTTTTATCATATAAAACATTAATTATCTAATAAAATTAGTTAGCTTGTTCAAATATGTACAAAATTTAGTCAAAAATTATTGTAAGCATTTAGTGGGTAAATAATGTTAAATGATAAAAAAAATTAAAATTATCATTGGTTTTTCTGCAAAAAGAAAAATTGCAATGCTTTTCAGGTAAAAAGTTGAAAATATAAAGGTTTTTCTGAAAAAATTTATAATCTATAAATAAAAAAACTTTTAAAAAGGTTGGTTTCATTAAGATGATGTGACAAAAAGTGATGCTCTAATAAGACAAAAACTAAAAGTACGATGTTACCAGACTGTTATGTACTTGACACTGTCCTTGTCAGTGTCAGTCCACTGTGATGGGACGGGACAATGTCAGGTCAGGGGTTGCTTTTTTTTTACAGTATTTCATTTTGAATCATATTATGTACAGCTTTTAGTGACCTGGCGGAAACGTACGATCTTCTAAAGCTCGGGGGTTCAGACTACCATGCAAGAGGCGGCAACAGCGAGTCGGCTCTAGGAAGCGTGAGCCTACCGGTGGTGGCGGTTCATGAATTTCTAAAAGTGGCTCGACCGATTTGGTGTGGTGCGATCAAGAACACGGTTGACCGATATGTCAGTGATCCAACCGAATCGAACCTACAACATATCTTGAGATATGCCAAGATCAAATTAGCTAAAAATGGTGTTACTCTTTTGAATCATAATGTTGAACTCATTCGCGAGTGTCTTTCTCAATGGTTGACCGATGAAGAACAAAAGAATGCTAATTTTGAAGTGATTAGAGATGTTTTAGAGAATCAAGGGGGAGGATGTGATTGTGAAGCTATTATATAGTTTTAGGTATTAAGTTTTGTTTATTGAGTTTTTCAAACAATTTTTTGCGTTTTTGCATTCAAAATTTGTGTTTGTTATTCGGTGTTTTATGTTGGGTATTTGAAAAGAAAGAGCAAGCATTGCTTGATTAATATTTTTTTATGGTCAAAATATATATCAAAGCCGCCTTTTATGGTTTAAACATTAAATTTTATTTTGGTCAATTCTAAATATGCCAAGACACCAAAGTACTAGGTAGTTATTTTTTGTTACTTATAATGTTTAAATACTTTTTTTTGCTAGTAATACAAGTCTTATTTTAATGGATGTGTCTCTAAACACTTAAACACAAAAATACACACAAACAAACAATAGAGAGATGTCCAAGTCAACAAAAATCCAATGGACAAACAAAAGATAATATTTTTTGTATGGTTTATTAAGTTTAATGATTTTTGAACACATGTAAAAGTTTATTATCCTAGATCATTTTCTTTTTAATATACCATAGTTTTGAACAAGAAACAAAATCAAAAGATGTTCAAATACCTCAAGAATAGAGAAGAAGCACAGGATACATTGCTTACAAATTACAAACGCTATTTTTAATCAAGAAAAACAATCGACAAATCATTAAGGACAAAGATCAATTGGATATTTCATGCCACTATTCAAATCAAACTTAATTGTTCAAAGAAAACTTTGGTTTGGATTAAATATTTAGACCAAAACCAAATTAATATCATAAATTTTGATTGGTTTTGGTTGCTAAAATAAAACCAATTTGAAATAAGATTGAATATTTTGTGTTTATAAATCTACCGAAGTCAAAAGCTATAGTTTTAAAAGTGAGATTTTTTGAAACAAAAATAAAGATTGGAAAATAAATGTTATGTATGTCGGCTTTTGCACCAAGTACAGGGGCATTACAGACAATTAGTCAAAAAAGACCATAAAATAAATTACACTAAAGTGACATCAAAAAAAAAAAAAAAAAAAAAAAAAAATTAGCCCAACTTTCCAATTTCCATCTTCTTCCTTAAAGCCTTATGACCATGGTAAACAAACGAATCCACAATCCCTGCAACTGTAAAGATTCCTGAAAAAAAAAATTAAAAAAATGTCAACGATTTTCTCTCATGTTATTGTGAAATTTGTTTTATGAAATGTAAGGGTAAAATGGTCATTTAGTCTTCTTGTTCACACACAACAAATGTATTGCTTACCTCCAACAATGGCACACACATTTGTCATGAAATGTAAGAAGGAGATATGTGTTTCTGTAAATGTCACCTACAAAATATATTTTGAGTTTGATTAAATATTTTTATTTTTTAGATAAATAAATAAATAAATAAATACCTTAATTGGAGAAAGGTCATAGAAGAAGAAAACACCAGGGAGAGACCTTCTGCCAACTTCTGGGGTCTTGTAGTGTTCAGTAACAGAAAACTATAAAACACCAAATTCATTAAATGTTTTAATACAAATTCATTATAAATAAAACAGTTTTTTTTATTAAATAATAATAAATACCTGATTTGATTGAATAGTGTAGCCTCTAATGTTCGTGTAAATCGTTGGTACCACCTGAAATCAAGAGAAAAATATATAAATATATATATATATATATATATATATATATATATATATATATATATGAGCTTTTTTTATTATATTATATAAAATTGAATAAGTGAGAGCTTAAAAAAAATAAAAACTAACCTTTATAAAGTACTGATACATTCCATTTGGAGATACTTGAAACCAATGCACCCTGAATTTTTTAAAAAATAATTATAAGCAACGAATAGAAATAGCAATGTACTTTTATTTATTTACTTTGATTTTTTTTTTGTTATCAAAACATTGTATTTTAAAGAATCTAACTAATTACACTATTAATTTTTCTTATTACTTTGAAATATTATCCAATTATTGAAAATGAAAAATATAAAAAGAAAAACAAATAATAATTTAATTAGTAATTAGTAAATTTACCCATCAAGAGGATTTACAATCCCAGGATAATAGCTTCCAAAAGCTAATTTATTTATCTTGTGACTTATCTGTGTATACACATCATCATTACTCATTAGTAAAAGTAATAATAAGAAATTTAATGGATATATATAAATGGAGGTCAAAAAGGTAATTTTAATTTTGTTAGGCTTACATTATAACTGTCCTCTTGAAAAGCCAACAAATCAGGGATATGAATACTTGATTGATGAAAACTTTTTATGAAATGAAAATTTCCAGCCACTTTGTTAACTTCCAAAGATCCATAAATATTGCATCCTTCACCTTCTTCATCTTTAATTTTTTGAGCAAATCCTTCCCTTTTACACTGATACATACAATTAACATCATATATATATATATATATATATATATATATATATATATATATATATATATATATAACTATAACAAGATTTTTTATAAAAAGTTTTAAATAAAAAGATTGGGAATATCCAACTAAAGTATCCTGATATTTGGTGGGGTGTCATCAAGATTGTTTCTTTTTTATGTTTCAGATAGTAAAAGTTTAATTGCAAGAAATAGCAATATAACTGTAACAAGATTTTTTTATAAAAAGTTTAAAAGTTTTAAATAAAAAGAATGGGTATATAGAAGTATAGAACTAAAGTATCCTGATATTTGGTGAGGTATCATCAAGATTGTTTCTTTTTTATGTTTCAGATAGAAAAATTTTAATTGCAAAAACTAAAACATAGCAATATAATTGTAACAAGATTTTTTATGAAAAGTTTAAATAAAAAGATTGGGAATATAGAACTCAAGTATCCTGATATTTGGTGGGGTATCATCAAGATTGTTTCTTTTTTATGTTTCAGATAGAAAAATTTTAATTGCAAAAAATAGCAATGTACTTTTGTTGAAAGTAAAATGCTATTATAAACAAATAAATGAAAGTATGTTGCTACTTTTTTTGCAATTAACACTTAAAAAATTATATATTTATTTTCAATAGAATCAATAGATATGAAAAATATGGTTATATATGCTTCTACCTGATCAATCAAATCAGGATTTGTCATACCCCAACCTTTTCTTCTATATGCTTCACGAACTTCTTCACATGAATTACAACATTCATCATCTGTCTGCAAACATCAAAAAAAAAAAAATTAAAAACACTCCATGATTTTATAAAATAAAAAAAGTAGAAAGATTGGTATTGATTTTTTTAAGAATTCTAGTTGCCACTTTACAATTCGCAGAATGTTTTGGAAGGAATTTGAAATTTGTTTAAAGGAATCGAATTTGGAGGAATTTGGATTTGAAGGGATTGATATTGAAATACTTGTAAAATTAAATTCAATCATTTGTATTTTTTTTTACAAGTTGAAAAATATATATATACAATTGAATGAAATTGATTATTGAGTTTAATTTTTACAAGTATTTCAATCCCTTACAAATTTTCATGAACAAGAAACTAAATAATTTTACAAGTATTTGAAAAAGTTACGCGAACAAGAAATCTATTAAGAAAACTTTTTCAAATACTTGTAAAATTATTTAATTTCAAGTTTTTAAAACTATTTTTAGGTAAAAAAAAATATTCATATTAGTAACAACAAATTACAAAACAATACAAAACACAAAAATCATGAGGGAGAGAAAACAACAAAAAGACAGACTTTGTTATAGAAAATTAGGGTTTAGATTAGAAAGGGTATTTTCGTCATTTACACAAATAAGGTAGTGAAAGAAAGATATACCGCTTCTGCACCAAAGCATGAACCACAATAAGTTTCATTATGCTCAAGCCTCCCACCATGTCTTTGCAAAGGCTTCTCAATCTATAAAAACAATGATAAACAAATAAATATATAAAATATTGACAAGTTAATTATTATAGTTTATAAATTATATCAACCAATTGATATATACTAACCTGAGGGCCACCAATTCCTTCTTTTCTCTCTTCAATAACATTTCCATTAGAGTCGATTCTTTTCTTTATTATATCATGTCTCTGCAAGTTCAATGGGACAAAAGACGTTAATGCCCTTTTCATACTTGTTGAAAATAGCCCTAGAACAACTAGAAAGAATTTAAAAAACGTACAATGTCAAGATGTTGTTCTCCACTGATATCCATGGCATCAAGGCTGAGTAGTGTACATGAAACAGCTGGAAATGTGATATCAAACTGTAATCAAAAGCACAGTATGTCAAAAGTTGTCCTATTTCATTACAAAATAAGATCTAACATGTCAATTTAAAATTTAAATCCACTAAATATCAATGATGTTTACATTAATATGTAGTTTTTCTCCTCTTGAAGTATCAACTACAAGCTTTGTTTCAGTGGTAGTGTGCAGATATAGCCCTGCAGACAAAAAAAGGCACCCAAACAGTTAGATGCATTCAATTCCTCATTTACATGATGAATATGAATCAAGAATATGTCAATTGTAAGGATTAAACAAACTAGTTCAAGAAATACACATTATTTATGATCATTATGTCGCATACAAAAACACTAAGGGCAAAGAATATAAAGCGTGGATCTTAAACTATAGCTTATGGATCCATCATCAATATGTTCTCCTATTCGCTATTTGAGAAATGGAAAATCTGACCCCTTTGATGCTTGATACTATTCGATTCGTGTTTTACAATCATTTAAAGTTAAACTAAATTGGTGTAGGCAAAGAGAACTAATTTTCTACGAGAATAAGTTCTTCCGACGTCAGAAAACGGCAATTAGATCACCTATAGATATGTTCGAGATTAGTGAAACAGCCATCTAGATCGAACACACAAATAGAGAAAAAAACAATTCGTTTTATGTCCTGAGAACAAACAGTTAATCAAATCAAACACTTGTACGTTCAGATTTTCGGATAAAAGTATGGATTTTAAAGTTTACCGAGTTCAGAGAAGAAAAGAAGGAACATAGCGATGGAAGAGACGACGGTAATAACGCCGCCGGAGAGCGTACGGCTGTAAAAATCCTCATTAATTTTAGGGTATGCATCCAAATTCCGAACTTTACTGAAAACCCTCTCCATAATTCTTCAGCAGCACAGCGAATCTAGAAAAACCCTAAATTTCAACAGCAACAAAAACCAATCGCGAATTCAGATACTGTTTGCTGTCTAAGCCTTAAAGATTCCTTCCTGTATCTGTACTCATGCGTGTATGTTCACTGGGAATTGAATTTGGGTTGTAGACGGAGGAAAGGACGGCCGGCCGTCGGCGAAGAGAGTGGTTTGATTGAAATCTAGGAATGGTTGAACAAATCTCGACTAAATTAAACCAATTTTCAACATCGATTTTCCCTATAATTCCGTGTATTTTTTTTTTTGGTCAACGTGGTCTACTTTACTTCACTTTACAAAACAAAATTGGCAAAGTATGTAATATGTATCATGGATTATTTTTAAAAGGGATATTAACATTAAAGTTTCTAAGTTTGGTTTATTTTTAAAAGGGATAGTAAGAGAAAAGGAAAAGAAAATAAAATTTTTTTGTTCCCGAGTTGAAGACAAGTGGAATGAAAGTTAATCATTTTATACTTTCTTTCCAAATCGGAAGGAAAGTTAGGAGGGAAAGTGATCCTTTCATTCCCCCCCCCCCCTCCCCCACTTCCTTCCATTCATTCCTTTAATGAAACTCGGGAACATCAATTTCTTTTACTTTCTTCTCATTTTCACTCAATTCCTTTCTTTTCTCTCGTTAAGTTGAACTCGGGAACGGGGTTTCTAAGTTTTTAAAGTTTTGTGGGTTTTATTTTTTATGGTTTTTGGTGTGTTAATGGCTAATATTTGAGAAGATTTGTTAATTTTTATCCTTTGACCATTTTTAACCTTCTACAAGACTAGAACAAGTCATTCTTGCCATTTTTGACCTTCTACAACAAGTCATTCTTGCCAACAACAGGTCGCCACAACCACAATCTGCCTTGTTGCCACCACCATAAGCAACCACCACCTCACAATCGTCATCCGTCGTCAGACCACATCAAATAGCCGTCATTTTCGGATATGCACACACATCATTTGAACAACCTTCCTTCCGCTATCAAACCTCGCCAAAAACCATTATCTTTCGACCATCGGAGGTACCTACGCCACACTCCTCACTCCGCACGGAAAAATGAAATCCCCTTATCTCTTCCTTTCGATTTAACCCCAACCCTTGCTACCACCAAAAGCAGCCATCACATCCCATCATCTCTCCCTTACTACGAACACAGCGGAGCGACGACGCCACCACCACCACCATCTGAAAATCAAAACGCACAGCAGCTGCGGTGATTAGAGGTTGTGGTGGCAGCAGGGGCAACTAGGATTTATGACGAAGATGATGTTGGCGGCGACAGCTAGAGGTGACAACGGTTAAGGTTCACAGTAGCAGCAAAAGGTCGAGTTTTCGGTTTTCTGACTGAGGGAAGAGGGTGACGTACGTAGCTTCGATGGTCGAACGACAATGGTGGTTGATGGGGTTTGATGGCGGAGGGAAGGGAATTCCAGCATTGTGTGTAGATCCAAAAATAACAATAGTTTTCAGTTTTCCGATGGACGGAGGATGGTGACGTAAGTAGCTCCAGCGGCGGAGGACGGTGGTAGTAACGATTTATGAGAGAGAAAGAGAGAGAGAAGGATATAAATATATATATATATATATATATATATATATATATATATATATATATAGAGAGAGAGAGAGAGAGAGAGAGAGAGAAAGAAAGAAAGAAAAGATGGAGGGGGAAGAGAGTATGGAGGTAGAAGGTAACCGGTTGTGGTGGTGATCACCTTCTATAAAAGGTAAAAAAATGGTTGAATTGTAAATATGAACAAGTTTTCCTAACTATTAAGCATTAACACACCAAAAATCATCAAAAGGACAAACCCGACAAAACTTGAAAAACTTAAGGACTATTATATCAATAACCCTTTTTATATTAAATAATCAATACTATTATTCTTGATGGGATTTAAGTAAAAAAATAAACTTAAAACCCTTAAGTTCACATGCAACCTAAAAGGATCTATGTTTTCACTATTGAACTTATAACTATGTGTAACACTCAAGTTTTTGTAAGTTTCTTTTTAACCCTTTGATGCAAATTCCTTTCAATTTGGTCCCTTGGTTAGTACGCGGGGTGTATTCCATGAGTACGCTTAGCGTACTAGCCATCCTGATGATCGCGAGTTCCACCCACGTACGCATGACGTACGCAAGGCTGGGACAAACCCTAATTTTTAGGGTTTGTGCCCTATTTAAACAACTTAAACTCATCTCTTGGACATTTTATACCATCCTCCACCTCCCCTTACCCTGAAATCGAAACCCTAGAGTGATTTGGTGAGTTTTGAGCTTGAAAAAGTGTTTGTTGGTGGTTTGTGAAGGAGAAGAATAAGAGGAACACTTGGAGGAGTAACTTGGGTTTGTAGATCCAGAAACACCTTCTCATTTGCAAGCTTTTGAGGTAAAAAGCTCACACCTTGATGATCATATATGTTAGATCTAGTTTATGGTGTATTTTGTGAACTTTTTAGTCTTTTGTGTTAAAGGTGAGATTTTGATCTACTCCAGAAGCAATGAATGCTAGATCTTAGCTCCATTCAGTCCCCATGTTCATAAAAATGTCAACTTTATGGAGTATTTTGATCCATGCATGTATTAAGATCTTTATTAAGCTCTTTTTGAGCTTTTTAGTCCCATTAAGCCATGCATGAGTATAAAGTTGCCAACTTTACGTGATAAATCATCCTTAGGGACTAGATCTGAGAATCTGGAGAAAGGGTTTAACGATTTAAGTGCTTAATGGAGTAAGTTGGCACACTGGGGAGTACGTTGGGTGTACCCATCTGGTAAGCTGCGCATACTAGCCCCAAATGGAGTACGCTAAGTGTACGAGCTAAGTACACCCCGCGTACTTAGTGTTGGATTAGGTATCTAAGCCCATAAGTATAATTGGTATATACTTGAATTGTTAGTAGCACAGTCCTTTTGGGTTGCCCTCATACTAGCAACTTGACAGGATGCCTTTGGGAGGAAAGAGGTTGAATTTATTATTTGAATAATAAATTGAGATAATTTATTTATTAATGTATCATGAAAATAATATATTAATTGGAAATCATATTGTTTAATTAATATTTAATCAGAAATTAATTTGGAAATAATTTTGGGATTAAAGGAAATTGATTAAAAGTGCAGGGACTGTTTAGCAATTTATTGATAGTTGAGAAACTGGGCTCTTGGACCACCCTAGAAGGCTTGGACGAAAACTTCTAGGGAAGCCCTAGAATTTTCGTCCAAGGCCTTGGATGGGGAGTCCATGGGCTGCTTAGGCCTTAAGCTAAGGAATTAGGGTTTCCTCCAGCAAACCCTAGCTTTGGCTCTAAGCTACCTCAACTATATAAAGGGCTTTACCCCTTCATAATTTCGGCCACTCTAAACCCTAAGAAGGATAGCCAAATTTCTCAATCTTCTCCTCCTCTCTCCTCTCTCATCCTTTTGCTTGGTGTGGGTGTGAACCATTAGAGGTGTTACACTTATGGCACTTGCTCTCAAGCTTCAGAAAGTTCGAGATCTTCAAGGAATCCATTGTTATTACAATATAACAATCAAGGTATGTATTCCAACCCTAGATTTATGAATTTCGAAAATAGCATATGCCTCCTAGGGTTTTCCTTTTGATGTTCAATACTTGTATGTCCAATTAGAGAAAAAACATAGATCAAAGCAACTAGGGTTGCATGTACACATAAGATTGTTTGTTATGCTCAAAACCCATCAATGGTATCAGAGCCTTGGCTTGTTTTCTATTGAATTTGATGCAATTGGTTTAACTTGATCAATTAGGGTTTATGGGAATTAAACACTAAGGACTTAGGGTTTTCGCAAATTAGGGTTTCCTAACCCTAGATTTCGAAAATTTGGAAAGGGGTTTTAACCCTTTCCTTTGTCCTTCAAATTTCGAAAATTAGGGTTTCCTAATCCTTTAGATTTTTGAAAAATTAGATAAGGATTGAGATCCTTGCCTTCCTCCCCAAGATTTGTGATTTTAGAAATTAGGGTTTCATGATAGGCTTTTCTTATTTTTGGTAATTATCTGTTTATGTGATTATGTGGATAATTATAAAATTTGAATATCCCTCCCATGTTTTTCGAAAATTAGGTGAGAGGATTAGGTTAAATTATTTTGATTAATTTAATCGGATAATCCTCAAATGATTTAATAAATTAATTAAAGGTTTAATTAATATATAATTATTAAATCAATTTCTTTTAAATTTAATTAAATTGTTTTAATTATAAAATTTAAAAGATTATAAACCCTAGTATTTTGAAATGTTTAAAACACACCTTATACTATATGTAAAATTAAATGTTTAATATTTACTATATGTATAAGACAAGTCAGTCGAACCGCTGGTACACCTCATTCACGAAGCCAATCTATAAGGGGGAAGGGGGTATAAGGAAACTACCTATAAAATGGTAGTTGAATGGGTGTCCACTCTCACCCACCGGTTCCTTGATTGGTGGAGGGTCGTTAGCTGAACGGGTTTGATAGGACAAATAATTCTCATTAATAAGTATAATGGAATTAATAAAGTAACTAAAATGTTTTTATTAAATTCCCAATCTTAGTTGCTTTAGGAAAAATGTGAATTTGATGCTAATCCATGAAATTGCACATTGCATTTTATATAAGTCCTTAGTGGAGCGTGTGTGGTTAACCGACACACTAATATGGACTAATAAAGGGTGGCAATGGGTGTCTCGTAAATTATCATTGATTGATGGAGCATGGGTGGCTAACCGACACATTAATTAGATGATAAATGGCATCGAGAGTACCAAGCTAATTTGCATGGTTATTCACATCTTGTTTGTGATCCTCGGTATCCCAGTCACAAATGGAAGAGCATAATCGAGATTAAACATGCCATCGAATACTTCAATGAATCTCAAAAGATCTAGGAATTTCATTTAAAACCTAATTCATTTAAAATTTCGTTTTCGTGGTGAAAGTGGTAAATTGTCATTTACCTACCTTTATTTATTTCACAATCAGATTACGGCATCCTTTTTCTATGTTGTGAAATATCTAGTTGGATCCTAGTCTTAATATTTCATTTGGGTGTTATATTGAGGAATTTTCTTATCTAACTAAAAATTATCCTTCTTCTTTTTCAGATGTCAACTCCCAATGATGCTTCTGGTTCCTCCTCCAACAGTTTCTCACTCCTTAACATCTGCTCGAGGGTTACCTTGGATGGCACCAATTATAATGATTGAATGTGAAACATCAAGATGGCTCTACGTTTCGAGGACA